CACACACACACACACACACACACACACACACACACACACAGCACGCACTACACACACACACACACGCACACACACACACACGCACACACACACACACGCACACACACACACACAGGCACCCACAGGCAGACGCACACGCACACACACACACAGGCACGCACATACAGACCGTCAGGGGTTGGAATCTTGATGCGATTCACGTCGGCATCGGAAGCTTCAGAAGCCGCCAAAAACTCTTGCAGCTGCTGGTCCGTGTTGGTGACCTTGGCGATCAAGATGGCCGGCAGAAACTGCTCGCAGCAGTCATGAAATGACCGATGCCATGGTTCATTACACAGGAAACCGTGCATGAGATGCATGCATGGCATGGAGTGTGTGTGCGCGTGGCGTGTGCGTGCGTGTTTGTGGTTGTGCGTTTGCTCGTGCGTTTGCATCTTGTGCGTTTGCATGTTCATCAAACACAGATCAGGTGCAGTTGTGTCACGATCACCATCACCACAATGACATCACAGGCTTACAAAGAGTGGCGTCACGAGGAAGGTCTTTGCAAGGAAGAAAAACCCGACGGTGAAAGCCACAAAGGAAAATGGCACTGCCACAAAGCTGTGCAACAGTGTGTACGGCTGCGTCCACTGCAACAGCATCGCCTGCGCCAACAAGGCGCTGCCAACCAGCAACCCCTGCATCGTCGTCGTCGTCTTCGTCGTCGTTCACACACAAACAACACTCGAGCAAGCCAAGCAAGAAGCAAAAACGTCAGCAGCGTCCGGTCGCATCCACGGTTCACGACACGATAAAATGTTTCACCGACAACAATTTCCCCCGTTCTTTTTTTTCTTGTCTTGTGCTTGGGCCCGTTGCATGCGCCTCACGTGCTCGCTTCTGCGTGTAATCTTGTGCCTTTTTCGTTCCCCTGCCACCATCGCGCACGCGAGACCCACACCGCCAGCACACTGCTCTGCCACCTCGTCCCCTCATTGTGACAACACCACACCACACGCAGCAACACCAGCACCGCCACCATGAGGTTCGCGCGTGTTGTTCTTGTTGCTGTTGTCGCTGATGTTGTTGTTGTTGATGATGATGCGATGTGAACCCAGCACAGCAGGGGCACGCACACGCACACACACACGCACAACACAACACAACACAACACAACACAACTTTAGACATCAGGCACATTGTGCCCTTGTTGTCTGCTGTTGCTGTTGTTGCTTGTGGTGTTGCTGGTGGTGTTGTTGTTGCTGCTGCTGTCTCTGTTGCTGTTGTGGCAAGTGTGCATTATTGGAGAAGGGAGGGCCTCTTCACACCCTTTGTGGCTGTGAATGCCCGCGGGTTGTTGTGCGCTGTCTTCGACTCTCTGTTGCTCGCTCTTCCTGCGCTTGTCTCTTTTTTGATTGTGGTTGATGGCCTCTCCTTGTTCTCCTGCCCCCCTTGTTCTTCTGGTGCCTCCCACCTTTATTTATTTCTTGCGTGATGACGAGAAGTTGGTACCTTGTCTCTCTCTGAATTGGTTGTGCACTGTCCTTGGCACAAAGTGCGACATCATGATGAGAAAAGACAAGTTGCCTTCTGCTTTGTTGTTGCAAGTGTTTTACGTGTGTGGTGGCTTCACCTACACCACCGTCTGTTGTTTCCCGATTGCTGTTTCTTGAGTTGTTGGCGAATCACTTCTTGTTCTTCCTCCCCAATGTGTTTCGCGCATGCACTTGTGTCGGCTCACTTTGTGTGTGTTTGCGTGCTTGTCTTCATTCCACTTCACAGCAAGGTTTCCCGCGACACCTACGAAGAGGCGATCCAGGCCCTCCTCAAGCACTCCCTCAAGCAGAAGAAGGTGTGTGTGTGCGTGTGCGTGTGTGTGTGCGTGTGCGTGTGTGTGTTGTGCTTGTACAACTCGCCACTCCACAAACCCTTGTCTTTCTTTCGTCCTGAGCCCATTCTCTCAACTCCCCATCTTCTCACCTTGCTTTTTGTCTCACACCCACTCTCGCACGCTGCGTAACTTGGTGTGTTTTCGGCCACCACAGCGCAAGTTCCGCGAGACGGTTGAGCTTCAGGTTATGCTGAAGAACTACGATCCCTCCCGTGACAAGCGCTTCAGCGGCACCGTGCGTCTGCCCGGCATTGCCCGCCCTGGCATGAAGGTGTGCGTGCTCGGTGACGATGCTCACTGCGACGAGGCCAAGGCTGCCGACATTCCCTGCATGGACGTCGACTCCCTCAAGAAGCTCAAGAAGAACAAGAAGCTCGTCAAGAAGCTGGGTACGAGTGTGTGTGTGGTTGTGTGAGAGAGAGTGTGTGTGTGTGTGCCCGTGTTTTGTCTGTGCGCGCGTGTGTTTGTGTGAGTGTGTGTTTGTGTGTGTTTGTGTGTGGCTGTGTGAGCGAGTGTTTTGTACACTTTGTTTCTTTCCCTCCTTCCACCTCTCCTTCCCCCCTCTCCTTCCCCCTCTTCCCGCCTCCTCAAACACCACAACCAGCCTTCCGTCTTGGCCCGACATAT